GGCCAGGCCAGGGAGGGAGGGGCACAGCAGGGCCCCGTGAAGTCCCAAAGGCGAGCAGGCAGTCGTGCTGCAGGCCGGGTCTTGGGCCCGGGGACCGGACGGGCTGGAAAAGCAGCAGACCCAAGGCTGCCCACCTGCAGTGGGTTTACATGCGTTGGTGTTACTGTATGCTGCACATCCTGCGTTCACACGCGTGCAGAGGACGGCAGTGCCACCCTCTCTCTGCCACCAGGAACGAAGAGCGGCGGCGAGCATGGCGGGCCTCACGGGACAGCAGGCTACAGCCCCTCCCCAGCTGCGAAGCTTGGTGAGTGGCCCGGGGGTGCACGTCTGCCAGGGCGGGGAGGGGGCCAAACCGGGCTGAGGGGACCAGGCCTGACTTGGCCGGGTGGCGGCTGCCCGCAGCACCGCACCAAGCCCCGAGGAGGTGCAGAGTTGGGCCCGGTCCTTCGACAAGCTGATGCACAGCCCGGCTGGCCGCAGCGTGTTCCGGGAGTTCCTGCGCACGGAGTACAGCGAGGAGAACATGCTCTTCTGGCTGGCCTGCGAGGAGCTCAAGGCTGAGGCCAACCAGCACGTGGTGGATGAGAAGGCGCGGCTCATCTATGAGGACTACGTGTCCATCCTGTCCCCCAAGGAGGTGTGCTGCGCGGGGCCGGGGGCGGGGGCCTCGGCCTCCCAGACCCCCTGACCGCAGTGCCCTGTCCCACCCACAGGTGAGCCTGGACTCCCGGGTGCGGGAGGGCATCAACAAGAAGATGCAGGAGCCGTCGGCACACACGTTCGACGATGCACAACTGCAGATTTACACACTCATGCACCGAGACTCCTACCCCCGCTTCCTCAGCTCCCCTGCCTACCGTGCCCTGCTGCTCCGGGGGGGCTCCCCGTCCTCCAGCGAGGCCTAGGCTGCCCACTCTTGCAGCCCAGACTAGGGACCTCTCCCGTGGGCAGAGACTTCTCACGAGTGTCAGCAGGTGTCGGGCACACCTGCAGGGCCCAGCACCCCTGGGGCAGTCCCAGGTAGGAGCTCCAGGTGCAGGGCAGGGCAGAATCCCCCTTCCCTACCTAGGGGTCCTAGTGCCCCAAGGTCCTCCTGAGAGGCAGATGTGAGGGCCTCTGGGCCCTAGCGCCCCCTCCCGCACCAGCCCCCACTGGCCGGCGGAGTGCTCCTGCTGGGGTCCCACGTGGTAAGAGGAGGCACCCTCCCTGGGAACACCCTGGACCCACAAACCTCACTGGGTCCTCCTCCCCAGGCAGTTGGGGGCCCCAAGAAATGCCCTGGTAGGGAAGAGAACCTCTGAACTGTCCAGTTCTCTGACATGAGACCTCTAGCTGGTGCCATCTGCACCCCAGGATCCCAGAACCAGAACCGCAGAACCAGGCTCAAGGGAGCAGGACCCAGTATCTCTTTTATGTGTTTTTAGGGTTTAAACCAGGAAACATGTCCTCACTGTGTGTTTTATGAAAAAAAGAAACTGTTTTCATATTTAACTCCACCCCTCTCCCCCCTAAAATAGGATCTTATTATTGAAGATGCTTTTAAACCAAAGTCCCTCCCCTGTCCACGCTGTGGGGGGGTTAGAGGACGAGCTGTCCCAGACCCCCGGCAGGGGAGCAGCCCTGCTCAGGGAAGGGGCCTGGTCCCGCGTGCTCTGCCCCAGGCCCACCTGTCAGCAACGAGCCCAGAGGGCAGCTGTGCTCACTCCTTCCCACGCGAGGGCACCACAGCCTCTCAACACCAAGGACCCAAGGCTGATGATACAGGCAGCACTGGGCAGGCGATGGGTGGGCAGGCGATCAGAGGCTGGCCAGCTAGGGCAAGACACTGATGGGGGTGATGTCCCTGGATGCCAGGCACTGTCACTTGTACCGTCTCACAGGCCACACAAGGCACACACTTGCCACCCTGACCCTGAATCTGAGGTCGGTGAAGCACTTCAAAGCTGCAACCAGGGCCCAGAGACTCTGGTCGGGAGTCCACCCCATCCACACTGCCTCAACGAGCCAGGGAGGGGATCCTGAAGGGGCCCAGACTTGGCCTCCCACCCATAATCCCTGGACCCTGAGCTTCAGTGTAGGGGGAGCTCATGAGACCATGGGTCCTGTGTGTGCCCAGGGCCCTCCCCACATGAGCTTCACATGGGGCCTCCCAGGCCCTGCCCTACCAGGCCAAGCCAAGTGACCCCTGACCCCAGGGAGGAGGGCTGCCCCTGCAGCCCAGGTGGAGGTGGGGTGTTAGACCAGATGTGGGGGATAGGGGGCCCAGCTCAAAGCCCAAGCCTGTGCGTGGCCCACCAGGACCCAAGGGCTAGGGACAAAACGGTGGCAAAAAGAAACATTTAATAATCTGGGGGAAAGAGACAAGGTGCACTGCAGGCGAGTGGTGGGGTAGGGCAGGATGTGCTGCCTTCTGAGGAAGGCCATTGGGCACAGGGCAGGTCTCCAGAGAAGCTGCATCTGTTAGCAGGGAATGGGGGAGGTGGTGGCCAGTGCTGGCCTCGGCCCAAGGCTGCAGGCACAGGTGCACAGGGGCTCAGCAGAACTGCAAGAAACAGGTGGGGTGGAGGGGTCCAGCCACGGGGCTCCCCCAGGGCAGAAGGGTCTCCATCCACCATCTCCAAAGCTCCCAGGAGGCTGGTGGCATGGCTGTCCCCCTGTTCACACCGCAGACCCCACACAGGCTGGAGACACCCACCTCTAGAGAGCAGAGGGGCGGGCTCTGGGCTCACCACCTACCTTCCAGCGATTTCCGCACTCGTTGCAGACAACGAAGGTGGTCATGGGCTCATCGGAGCTGCGGGTCTGCACCTGTGGGGAGGGCGGTGGTGGGCGGGGCCTCACTCACTAGGAGCCGAAGGCCCCAAGTAGTGGGTCTTCCCTGGGGTCACAACCTGGGAGGCCACACCCGTGGTCTCAGGCAGGGCTGGCCTCACAGCACCTGGGCCCCCTGGGTTACCTTGGCTGGGCCGCCCAACTTGAGTGCCTCAGAGCAAGCAAGGGAACCCACCACCAGAGACCCTGCTTACTGGGGACCTGGGGTCCTCGGCCAGGGGGAGGTCCCCAGGGGAACCACTGCTCCCCAGCCCACTCAGAGACCAAAAGGCTCAGACAGTGGCCTAGCGCCACTCATATGCCGGGCAGGCATGGGCTGGGGGCAGTGCGGGCTCACCTGCGTGTAGGTGCAGTTCTTCTTCCTGCACTTCCCGCAGGTGAACAGGTCGGTCTGTGTGCCGCCTGTGCGGGCCATCTGGTGCTCGCGGATGGCCTCCTTGGTCATGGCCTTGCGGATCTCCTTCAGCTCATCACTGGCCATCTCCTGGGGCGAGGGTCCGTGTCGTGTGCTCAGCACGCAGCCCCTCGGGGCAGCCCCCCACGCCCCTCGGCAGGCTCACCTCCGAAGTCATCACAGCAATCTGTTGGGGCGTGATGGCACCGCACAGCACGTTGCGCCGCAGGCCAGGGTTCTTGGCATCCTTGAGGTTGGAGAGGCGGCTCCGCACGCGGTTCTTGTACTTCATGTCCGTGTTCCCCACGTCCCGAAAGATGCGTGCAAGCATTTAAGGACCAGACCAGAGGCCGACGCCCTGCCCGCCACCCACCCCACCAGGCCAGCGAGGGCCTCCTGTGGCAGCCATGTCAGAGGTGGGCCTAGGGGCAAGCGCGCCCATAGCTAAGTCTCAGCTGCAGGCTTGAGGCTCAGACACCTGAGCCCCAGCGCAGGCACAAACAGTGCCCCAGCGGGTCTGGGAGGGCCCTCCTGGCCAAGAGGAGTGACTCGCCCAACCGCCCAGCACTCGGCAAAGGCACCAGGGCAGTGGCCACTGGGAAGCTGGGCCTGGCTGGCCCTGTGACCTCCAGAAACCCCAGCCCCAAGCCCTGGTACAAAGGATATATTCCTCGATCTGGGCTGACAAGCGCTCACAGTCTGCACCAACGGCCACATGGTCATCTGCAAGAAGGAGCCCTGACGAGCTGCCCCTCAGCTGCCCAGCTACCAGCAGCCAGAACTCAGGACCCCAGGCACTCTCATCCCAAAGACCCCCTATCCCCCACCCGACGTCAGCAGAGATCAGCTGCGGAGAGGGCCGTCCCCAAGGACTCCCTGGACTCAGGCCTCTGCAGCAATCGGGACCCCGAGGTGTGCTGTGGGGCCCGGGCCTGGGCACTCACGGCCCGTCTGCAGGGCGGCCGTCAGCATCTCACGACATTTGTTGCGCACAGCGTCGCAGGTGACCGGCACTGGGGGAAACGTGGTGATCCTTGGGGTCGACGGCATCCTAGGTGGCTCCGGCCTCTTGCGGCTGGAGAGAGACAGGCCCACATGGGCCACGTGAACCCCCACGATATGCCAGTCCCCAGAAAAGCCAACATGACAGGCACAGTGTCCCCAAATCCCATTTGCTGCACCCTGACAGTGGCCCAAGACCCTGCCCATCCGCAGTCCGGGCCCGCATGTCCATGGGGTCTGCCCAGCCAGCTACAGGCAGTGAGGCTGGCTGAGGGGCACACTCCCAGACAGGGCACAATGGGGGCAGCACCACCTGTGAGGGTCCCTGCCCTCAGGGAGGCCTGGAACCCGGGACCACGTTGCCCAACACAGACTGCCAGGTCAGGGAGAGGCAGATGGGGCTGGGGGTCGCCCAAGCCGAGGTGCCGCTCTGTAGGCTGTGCCAACTGGCGTGGACGCCCTCACACGTCTGGCCACCCCCACAGGCTGCCTGAGCACCAGGCTGTGTCCACCCATCCCTTCTCTCACACCCCTGCATCTCATGACCCTGTGACCTCCACAAAGTCAGTGGAAGCAGGTGGCTTACTGGAGAAGAAACAAGGCGTGCCACTGGGCAGATGAGCCCCTGTCTTGGCACAGCCAGGCCATGAATCCAAAGCTCAATTTCCCTGGTCCCTGGCCGCTGCTGCCCAGAGGTCAAGGCAAATCAGCCTCTCGGATACAGCCTATTCCTATGACCGCCTCCCGGGGGCAGCCAGAGCAGTGAGGCCTCAGTGGCCCCAAAATCTGCACTAAACCACAGCCTGGGGCACCCACAGGGAGGAAGGGACCAGCAGCGAGACAGCAGGCCAAAGCGGGGCAGCCAGAGCTGGCCAGCGAGAACCAGACCCAGGATGGGGGCCTGGAGCCAGGGAACATGAGCAGTGGGTTCCCACAGGCCCACTCGGGGTGTGTGTCAGCGCCTTGTAGCCAGGCGGACACGGCCTCCCCCTAAGATGCTTGGGGCTGAAAAGACCCAGCATCCAGAGAAGCCTTGGACAGAAAGTGTCCGGCAAGAGGCTGACCGGGCTGGGCATGGCTTCCTGGGGAGAATCCCCTCCAAGAAGCTGAAAAGGCTGATGCCCTTCTCATGGCCTCAGCCCCCCAGGGCACCTGGAACTCAAGCACCCTACTCTGCCGAGAAGGTACGGCCATGAGGGGTGCGCGCCTGCCTTCCCAGTGGGCTACCTGGGATCCTTAGCCTCACAGGCCTCTTTGGAGGACGTCGACGTGGGCAGAGGCCCACCCCTCCTCCGCTCCCTGGCTTTGGCATCTGAAGCATCTGCAGGAACCAGGACAGAGGGGAGGGCTGGCCAGGAGAAGGCAGACCCCAAAGGGCAGGGCCGGGCCAGAGAGGGGAGCAGATCCCCACTGAGGCTCAGCCAGACCGCCAGCCCCTGCCCACAGACCCCGCATCCAACCACAGCTTCCTGCTCAGAAGCAGGGCCCTCCCCCACCCAAGGAAGGGCCTAGGAAGGCCCCCCCCACTTCCCACTCACACCCTCACTCAAGCAGGCCACCTGTGGGGCCTCTCTGGAGTCCACCCCACCACCTGTCCTGGCAGAGGGGGTTGTCATTCACCGAGTGACGCCTGAGAATAAAATTCACCCCAGAGCGATGGTCTCCACGATGAAGCGTTTGAACTTGGACAAAGGCCGGTCCCTGCAGGCAGGCCAGACCCAGGCCCACCCCCGCTGGGCCTCAGGCACCACAGCAAGCCTTAGAGTCAGCCCCTGCCTGCACTGGGGCCCTTCCCACAGGACGAGAAGCGTCCCACTTGCCACTAGAACACACGTGCTCATCCAACACACAGCTCAATGGCCACACAGGACATGCAGCTGTTTCCCAAGGGTTTGGACAGAGTCCAGGAGGAGCTTGCAAGGGACAGGAACCTCAAGGCATTTCTGCAACCCCCAGGCACCCCACTGTCCCCTCTCAATCCCACGCCCTGCTCCCCCTCCCCTTCCCGTCTCCTCTCCTACCACCCTCCCCCGCTAGGTGCCCAACCTCCAGCTGCCCGGACACTCCCCCACCCCTATGTGACCTCCAGCCCTACTGGGTCCCTCTAGGGCTCAGTGCAGCACCCCACCCTCAACTCCACCCCTCCCAGCCCCTCCCACCCCCTCCCACCACTGAGTCAGTGCTTCCTGGACCAGGTCTGTTACTCCCCTCCCAGGTGGCCCTGGCTCAGGGACAGCACCGCCAGCACCCTACCCAGTGCTGACCAGCGAGGGGCCAGTGCATCCTGGATGCCCCTTGCCTCAGCACTCAGCCCAGGCTGCCTGACCCGCACCCAGAAGCTTCTTCCAGGATTTGATGAGAGACTTGGCCAGCGTGACAACCTCTTCATCGGAGCTCTGCTTCCGCAGGGCATTGACGGACATGCCGACCCGGGTGGACTGCAAGGCAAGCAGCTGGGCTTGGGGTGAGGGTCAGAACGTCCCCACAGACCCTCGGGGACTCCCACAGGGCAGGGCTGGGACCAGCGAGGGGAGGTGGACGCCCTTCCCAAGGGTGACTGTCCCATTTGGAACCCAGGAGCTTCAGTGAGGGACACAGTGGGTTACCCCTGAACGCCCCTCCCTGCCTCACTGAGCAACAGAGGAGTAACAGAGAAAGGCAGGGACAGTCTCCTCAGGGACAGGCGCCCGTGCCCACCCAGGGCCAGGGCAGGGGCCAGGAAGCCCAGCCACACACCTGGGAGCTGGGAGCGAGGGTTGGGGGGCACCGGCCTACCTGCAGCAGGTGCAGCGTGACAGGCGTGGCCTTCAGCTCCCGCAGCAGGTCCATGGCACCCTCCTGGAAGGACAGGGGAGGACCTTCATAAAAAGCCTTGAGATCTTGGTGGGCAGCCCCACCTCCTCCTGCACACGAGGGTTGGGGGGGACACAGGCAGTGATGATTCGGAGACCCCTCTTGGGGCAGATACCCAGGGAGGACAAGCACGAGAAGGGAGGCGGCTTCCCACTCAGTCCAAGCCCAGAGACCGTGACCTTCGTCAGGGCAAAGGGCTGCAGCCCTTCTCAGCAGAAGCACCACACCAGGCTAAGGTGCAGCCTCAGGAGCACTTGCTACTGCCCAAGCCTGCAGCCCCTGCCCACATGGCCCAGGCAGCCTCCCCACAAGCCAGCCCAGGAACGGTCAGTGTCCCTGCTGAGGCCAAACCCTCAAGGCACCTCTGCTTGCCTCGCACACACCCCTCCTTGGTCCCTCCAGCCCAGTTACCTGGGGCCAGCCACCACCTCACCTAGACTACTGCAACAGAGCCCCGGGCGCCCTCCTCTGCCACGCACCCACGCCCCACACCTGCTTCCTCAGGGACTGTTCGGGGAGGCTCCGCACAGGTGGCCACACCTCTCCACTACAGGCTCAGCTCCCCAGGGGCCAAGCTGGCTGCCCCAGGGCTTCTGCACCTACTGCTCCCACTGCCAGCGACACACCTGAGCCCACCCTCCCTCTGTGTTCAAATGACATCTTCTCAGTGAGGCCTCTCCCACTGAAGGCTGCCAGCAGCCCAGGCTCCACCCCACCCTCCCCGTTTGCTTTCCTCCGCAGAAGCCTCGCTTCTTAACCCACAGATGTGTCTTCACATGTGCGTGTCTCTAGGGACATGAAGGAGGCAGAGAGGATCTGACGCGGCCACCCAAGGTGGTGAGAGCCTCAGACGTCTTGCAGCCTGGGCCTGGGGAGGGGCCAAACCTGCCCCCTCCCAAATCGAGGTGGTGTCTCTGCTCAGCTGCAGCCTCTTCCTCATCACCCCCTGCAAGCCCCTGCCCCTGGGCTGTGCAGAGTCCAGTCCTGTGGTAACCTCCTCAAAGGGGACGTGTGGTCACCAGAGCCAAGGGCACAGTGACCCTTGGCAATCATCTTCCCCAAGGAGCCTCAGGGTGCAGAACACCCGCGTTCTGGGGCCTCCGGACCAGAGAACATAAACATGATTCCCAGTGGTGGACCCCATTCTCCCAAGGGGCCTCAGTAGCGCTGAGACCCACCAGGAGTCTCTGCTGGCTCTCACCCCCACTGACCTTCCTGGGCTGTCCATCTCAGTTTTGGGGAGAGGCTGCCTGAACCACAGGAACTCTCCTGAGCCCCCAAGTTCCCTCCCAGTCCACACCTGCCCCCCTGCCCCATTCTCCCCTGGGCGTCTACCTGGATTCCCCCCTCCCCCCACCCCACCCCAGTCCTGCCTGACCCCACCCAGCCCTCTGTGGGTTCCATGATGCATCTCTGCCCCCACCTGGGGGATGTCTGTTCTGTCTCTTTCCTGAGGGGAAGCAGCTTCTTTCTGTGGTCATCTCTAGAAACAGCTATAGATGTTCCCACACCCTTGCTCTGTACTGCTCACAGCCTCCGAGGGGGATGTACATCGGGGGGACGGGGGTTGTTGCTGCTTGATGGATGAACGAAAACGTTGTAGCCAGCCCCCTTACCAGCCCCAGTGAAAAACCCTGTTTAGAACCCGGGTCAGCGGAGACCCAGACTCAACCATGCTCAGCCTAAAACACCACCCCCAAACCACCAGTGCAGGCACACTGCCCTGGGGTGATTCCACCCCAGCCCAGAAGCTCAGTCTGGGGAAAGGGCAGGTCATGTTTACTGAGCCTCTCAAAGCCAGCAGGACCCCTCTCCACCCTCTGGAGGCAGGTACTAGCCACCAAAGATGCTTTCTGTAAGGGTATACAGGGTGCCTAGGTCCCAAGGTTGAGGGGGACTGGCATTGGAGCCCCGGCCGCCTGGCCCCTCTCAGAGGCTGCAGCACAGCCTCCTCCAAAGGCTCACTGGCCGAGGAACGACCGGCCAGGTCAGTGAGCACAATTAGCAAGGGGGTCTCACACCCAGGCCTCCCCAAGCCAGGCTCAGGGTCCTCCTAGGGCTCTTACCCCAAGGTATCTAACCACTTCCCAGTTGCTGCTAGCTGAGTTCTGGCTAAGGAAAAAAATTTATTAGGGAAACCTGGTTCTAAGAGGAGCTGCACAGACAAGGAAGAAAAAGGGCTTTCCGACCAGGAAAGACCTCTGGCCGGCTTGAGAAATAGGACGATGGGGGCCGCAGCCCCAGGCCAGCCAGAGGTAGGGGCAGGTGCTGTAGCTCCAGGGGGAAAGGGTGTCCAATCTCACACTCCAAACTCTTGCAGGCCGAGAAACGGCGTGGGAAACCCAGGGTGGGATAGAGGGCTCTTGAGTCGGAGGTGGGGCTTGGTGGGGAGTTGGGCGGAGGGGGCCTGCGAAGATGCCCAGGCCCGGGAGAAGGAAGGCAAGGGGGGCGGGGCAGCCAGAGAGAAAAGGCTGAACAGGACAGGGCTTCCGCAGGGCCGGGAGGGGCAGGGCCGAGGAGGGTCTCCGCCAGCCCGGCCTCCGGAGGGGGTCCGGAGTGAGAGGACAGGGAGGCGGGCGGATCCCAGGCCTGCAGAGTCTGAGCCTGGCAGTTGGGGTCTAAGTCCAGAGCGGGTGGCTCCCGGGACAAAGTCCAGGCCGGATCGCGGCCTCTGCCGTGGGTGCGAGGTGAAGGGCAGGGCTAGCCCAGGGCGGGGGTCTCCCCGCATCCGGGGAGTCTCTGCCGGGGTGGGGTCTCGTCCTGCCCCTCAGGTGGTCGCCCCGGCCCTGACGGGGGCTCGGGAGGCTCGGCGGGGGG